TATGATTGGTCATTAGTATGTACTTTTGTTTTTTTATTTAACTGAGTAATTTTCATGAACTTTATTTTATTATTGTTAACCATGTTAGTTGCAAAGCGGTTGTAAAGAAACTACGAAATGAAATGAAAAAGGGACTAATTGTTTTAAGTACTATATGTATTTCGAAAAAAATCGACAACACGAAATTGAGCGGATAATCTAAAAAATTTTGATTACTAAAGATTCATAAGATTTTTGTTGTTGAAATGGTTGTGTTTTCTGACCAGATGGGTGGGTTAATTTGCGAAGCTTTAATTGCCCAATCCCAACCTCTACTACTAGGCAACATCTTCAGTACATACATTTCAATTTGAATTGAAGTGAAGTGTTTTAGATTTTTCCACGAGTTTATTAATCATCTCTACCCTCATGGTGACCTTGGACGGCGCTATTGCTTGTTCTTGTATGTTGTGTTTTCACACCTTCTAGGTTACTTGTTAACTTGGTAGTGATTTTTTCCTTGACTTAAACTTTGACCCTCTATGTGTGAGATTTCCTTCTTATCGGTTAGTAAATTTTGTCCATTTGTGTGTGTGTGTGTCTATTGATTGACGATTCACACTGGAATACTAGGCAGCCTTCTAAAAATTCTCTAGCATTCTTAGTGTTACCTCTGTCTAATATTTGAACGTTGGATATCTCAGTCGAAATGATGTCCATGGTTGTCGTCTGTATGCAGCGATATGAGGGTGAGGGAGTGAATGACATGTCTTTTGACGGATAGCTTATGATTATGGATACGAAGACGAAGGGGACGTAGTCCACTTTGGCCAATATAGTGTTTTTCACCGTCGTCATAACTTACTTTGTAAATGATGTGTTGTTAAGTTTTTTGGTTGACAATCCACCATTATGTTGAATTCTCTCATCAGTACATCATTCTCCGCGTCGATGGCATAGCGGTTAGGACGCCCACCGACCACCATGCATATGGTCCATGGTTTGATCCCCGGCTACCAACGCACTCCTTTTACCTCGCTAGGCCAGAAATAATGCTGGTAAAGAGGAAAGATTGGGCATGAGGTTAGAAACCCCATCCTGTAAAAGATAAACACCACTGCTACAGAAACTTCAAGCCACTCAGCTTGAGGCCCTGTGTTCCCCACTGGGGGAACGTGAAGGAAGTAAAACAAAAATTCATCATTCTCCCATACACATAAATTGGAAAAAATGGTTAGTTGACATTTTAACCTCAGTAGACGATAAAATTATGTAAGTTCACTTTGAAAGATACATTCAATTGTAATTGTAGACATGAAAAATAATAATAATAAAACATGTGGAAATGTACTCTTCTGATATTAATTCCTTGTTTACTAATGTACCATTGATTATGAGACTGTTGATATTCAAGTGTTGATTTCTAGGGATTTGATTGGTTGGGGGATTTCATCATGGATTGACATTGGTTAGAGAATGATTGAAAAACCTACAGGAAGTAACTTTACAGCTGTTTCATCGGTCTAGTTTGAGATTCTTTATCGGTACACACCCACCACAGTGTTGATATTCTTTGTGACTGTTATATCTTCTAGTTGACTTTCATTCCCACTTCATTTAACTTACTTGAAAGATTTATTACTATTATGTACTAATTAACAATGTCCAGTTTACATTTGAAGCTGAGTCGTTTCAACAAGTAAATGATGTTACTTAAGGGGTGGGGGAGGAGGTGTATTAGATCCTTTGTTGACGGATGTTTATACGTTTTATGTTGATAACTTGTTCTTTGAGTTAACTGCTAAAGTGACTTTCTACAGGAGATATGTAGGCGACCTTATGCGATGATAAACGATGATCATGAAGATGCGAGTCATCTACCGGATAGACTAAGCTCCGTACAGAATCATACAAGTCTTACATGTAAAGAAAAGAAAGTCGCAACCAACATAAATTTTTGGACTTATATCTGAGTAAATGGCTCAATAAAGCAATCAATTTGTAGAAAGTCTACTTGAACAAAAGAATGTTTAAATCATCACAATTTCTGTCCAATACATTGTAATAGAGAGGCTTGGTGAGGTGTTTATTCAAGAGAACTCAACGTATTTGTACTGTGGTGAGAGCAGGCTGATAGCCAAATTGGTAGACAATTATTTACGTCAATGTTTGTGTCGCAAATATTGGTCGCGAGAAAATATGAACAAGACTGATTCAACAACCAATCACAGCAGACTTTGCGTAGGCAGATACACTTAACACATAGATGACCTGACATTCAAGAAACAATCACAAGGAGATGCTAGGTTAACTTTCTGTGAGAAACAACCAATCAGAAGAGTGTGTTTGTTTGCTTGAATAAGCTACAATTATGTATATGAAAATATATAAATATATGTTGATTTCCTTAATAAACGATCTATTCCCTGGCCCTTGTCTTCTGTTGTTACAGTACAACTGATGGTGTTATAGAGGATGAAAACAAAATACTGATGGATACTCTTGTTGAAAACGAATATCCTTTAATATTTTTAAGCCACTACAGAAGCCAGTTATTCTTTTAAAAAACTAAAATCTATTCTGTCCCTAACAAGGATGTTTTTTTCTTTTACGAGTTTTACGACTGATCGATATCAGTTAGAGAACCATTGAAAACCAGCACTGGAGTACTACTGGACAGCTGTTTCCTCTGTCCTAGTTTGGGACTCTTCATCAGTACTAACCCACCACACCGTGGTTCGAACCCAGGACCTTCTGGTTATAATGCTAGCGAAATCATAGACCATTAAGCCACTGAGACCCACTAATACACGATGGCCAGTCGATGAATTTTCCAACTTCTGCCAACTCACGCACAACATAGCGCAACCGCTAGCCAATGTCGTCGCTTGCGAGTATTTATCCTCACATCAGGCCTGCTGCACTTTACTGGTCACGAATTCCCACTAAAACCCCAGGTAACTACTAACCACCTGAATAGTATATGTTAGTAACAAGATAAACTAAGTTTTAAAGGAGACAGGGGTAAAAATTATTACAGAATTCAAGATCAGCTAATTCGCAGGGGTTGGTAATAAATTATTATTTTGAAGTATTGGATTTGTAGGAATTTTGTTTGAGTGCATGGAGGACTTCATCATGAGCTGACATCAGTTAGACAACCACTGGAAAACAAGCTGGGAGTACGAGATAGCTGTTTCGCTGGTCTAGTTTGGGACTCTTCATCAGTACGCACCCACCAGGGTTTGGAACCCCTGGACCTTCTGGTTACAAGGCCAGCGAGCTCGTAGACCATTAAGCCACTGGAACCCGCCAATACTGATGAAGAGTCCCAAACTAGACCGACGAAACAGCTGCCCAGTACTCCCAGGTTTTCCAGTGATTCTCTAACTGATGTCAGCTCATGATGAAATCCTCCGTGCAGTAAATTACTACTGAATCATGAAATTTGAAAATTAGAGATGATGATGACTAAGAGGAACAGAATGACTAAGTAGAATTACATAGGAATACCAAGAATACAAACAAGTGAGTACAATCAATTGGAACTGTACTCATAATAAAAGTAAAAAAAAAATAGTAACAAGAGGGGAGGGGAATACTTAATGCATATTATGTAATTGACTAAGGGTAAACAACACAAAACAGATATGGCTTGTTCAGATGAATTCCGATCGTCTCTACTGTATGTAAAAGTTGTACACGTGTAGATCACGCGAAAGATTGCGTGAAATACGATAGATAACATTTTTAGAGTTTTGTTAGAGTGATGAGTCGACTTGATGTCCAGTATCAACGAGATATAAGCTAGTGCTGAGATGTGTACAGGCTCAGTTCGAATCTCAGTCAAATCAAAAATGAGAGGTGTTTTCAGAAATTCGACAATGAACTCGCCTCATTGCATGCCTAATGTAACTAGCGCCATAGGAGTAGTTCAACTGGTAATTACACACAGAGAAGAGGCGACACACAAGGCAGTTTATCTTTATTTCTTGAACCGGGTACTACTAGTTGAATAGTGAATAAACTTAGCTGCATAAAAATCTCTTTTGAAGGCTCTATTGAAATACGTTTGTGATGAAATCTAATTACTAACCTCTCCAGTGAATTGCAATCTTAAAGAAAAATTAATTTTTTCAGAGCTGTGAGCACCCTGAGCTAATTCTTTTTGATTGAGTACTAGTTAGTAGTAACTAGTGTGTAGTGTGTTTAGTTCTTTCCTTGTTGCACACTGTATTCGATCAGTCAGGTTTCACAATGTGGCTAGCATCAAGCTGCTAGATAGCTCGCCATAATGGTGCACTTTGAACTGTCGATATTAGATGGTTGAAGACAGCCCTACAGGAAGTCAATCGCGAGTCGAAATAACTCAGTGGTAATGTCTTTTAACTGACTGCAATATTGCGTGTAGTGAAGTGGGTTCAAATCTCAGAAGGGATATGAGTTGCCTTCAAGGTTGCAGATACACCTTGCTGACTGAGTGCTGACAAGCACGAAGCCTAGGTGAAGCAAGGCTTCCTGTGACCGATTGTCTCCAGCCATCTCACACACTTTCTAATTCCAGTATTACTTTGTAAGGATTTGATTGATTACTTACAGGATTTCATCATGAGCTGATATTGGCTAGAGAACCATTGGAAAACCCAGCCAGGAAGTAGTGGACAGCTGTTTCGTTCCAGTTTGGGACTCTTCAACAGTACACAACCAACGGGGATCGAACCCAGTGTATCCCGGTGGCTTAATGGTCTACCAGCTAGCTCGCGTTGTAACCTGAAGGTCCTGAGTTTGAGTCCTAGTGGGTGCGTACTGATGAAGAGTACCAAACTGGGATGAAACAGTTGTCCAATACTCCCAGCTGGTTTTCCAATGGTTCTCTAACCAATGTCAGCTCATGATGAAATCCTGTAACTTTTTAATTCTGTCCGTTTGTTCAAAATTCTTATATATATATATATATATATATATATATATATATATATATATATATATATATATATTAGAACACTTAATAGAAAACTCACCTGAGGTGAAGATCTCGCCAACACTCGTAAATTAATCCATACTTGATCGAATAAATCTTGTCTCACTTTACCAGTCACTTTGTCACGAATACGTCGATTGAATTCTTTCCCTTCTAAAACGAGAAAATTTTCACCAGGTTGTAGAATACCACATTTCATAGCTATTGATCGTGCAGTATTCACATTATCCCCCGTGACCATACGTACAGTGATACCAGCTTTTTGACATTGACGTATAGCAGCAGGTACTTCTGGTCGAACTGGATCTTCAATACCAATTATGCCTAATAGTGTAAGACCTTCTAACAATTGATCTTCATCATCCCAATTAGGCTCTTTTTGAATAACTAAGTCGTTTGGACTTTTTGAATTGGAAGCTGTATTCATAAAATACGGCAAACACAAAGAAGAGAAGAGATAATTTAAAAAAAATAATAATAACTGATGAAGTTGGATTGCTTTGGGTCACATATACAAGGCGACACATATCCTCAACCATAAATAATAGGCATGTAGTCCAGTAGGTTTTCTCTAGAGGCATATAGTCGGTAAACGCAGATTATAACAGGTTGCCTTCATCTGAACATCAACGAGAGAGATTTAACAGAGGTTACCTCCTTCATTTATCTCGCTAAGAAGCACACTTTCAATCACATACAGTCAGTCGGAACGGATGAAGGTGTCAAAGACACCCACTGAGGATCAGAAAGGCAAGATACTCCTTCATCAACCTGAAACCAGTTTGGAAATCTTCTTCACTCGGCATAAGGAACAAGATTCGTTCGGATTCTGTTCAACATAAATGTGAAATCAGTCAGTCAGTTCTTCTATACGGGTGAGAAACTTGCACTGCACGTGCATCACGAAACGGATTTCCAACAGGCCACTTCAAACTTTGATTAACAGTTTCCAACTTGGCTAGTTCCAAATGACCAGATCAAATAATCAATTGGCCAGAAAGAATTAGTAACAAGGAACTCTGGCTGGGAAAAAACCAATCCCGAGCCGATTGTTCGAACAAACATGTAGGAGAAAATTCAGATGCATTGATCGGGCATACACATTGAGGAAACTATTGAATGACATCACGCTCAATGCAGGCCATCGCTCGAGTGGAATCCGGATTGGAAGTGACGAGTGGTTCGTCGATGCGAGAGTGACATGGAGGAGGTCGTGTATCGAGGAGGAAGAGATGAGAGATTATGGGCAATCGTGAAGATGTCTTGTTGAAGCTCCATGTTCCACCTGGAACTCAAAGGAATAATAATGATGATAACTTCATCTCAACCTTAAGAAAATGGAGACACAGCTTACTGAACACTAGGGGGCGGGGCGGGAAGGGGGGAAGAGAAACAGCATATATGTAGGCTCAGAGAAGGTACCTTCACGGTTAGATTGAAAGCCTGCAAAGAAACTGGAAACAGAACACAGTTCATTCAAGTTCAACATCCAGAAGAAAAAAAAAGGACACCCTATTGCAGCATAGCAGAGGTCGTGTGAGGGAGAAAAGTCCAACAATTTCAATACAGAAGAGAAAAGAATGAAATGCTAATGTGCTACTCAAGTCCTATGTTCCAATCGGAACCCGAGGCAATAATAATGACAATATCCGGTTACATGTTTTCAAGTTAAACCACACTTTTTATAGGGACGCTATGTAGGAACAACCTTTTCACTGAGAAATATTTTGTTATTATATTCAGATAGTTCAACTTTCGTATTCTTTCAAGTTGTTCAGTACTTACCACAAAAGTTGCTCGGTTTATAATAATAATAATAATAATAATAATAGTCAAGTATTGGTTTTATAGGGATTTTGTGTTTGATTGGATGAAGGATTTCATCATGAGCTGATATCAGTTAGAGAACCACTGGAAAATCACCAGGGAGTACTGGACAGCTGTTTCGTCTTAGTTTGGGACTCTTCATGAGCACACACTCATCATGCTGAAGAGTCCCAAACTAGGACGAAACAGCTGTCCAGCACTCCCTGGTGGTTTTCCAATGGTTCTTTAACTGATTTCGGCTCATGATGGAATCCTCTACCCAATAATAATAGTCATTATTATTATTAAGCAGTTGCATAATCATTTGAAAACGAGGCAACAACTAAACCGCATGGGCAGCCTCCACCTTCACCCGCCCCCTTCCACAGCCACCACCACGCACACACACACACACATGTCCATACAGACGCAAAGCAATGCAACATAAAAGCACTTACCAATTGTAATTCTCCTATAAGCGATACCAATTGTTCGAAGACCTTCACTAGCCATTGGTTCAATAACTGACTCTGTTAAACGTTCTTGATCTTGAACGCTAAATGGTCTTGGTTGGCCTTGTTCATCCATCATCCATGAACAACTGTATCGTAATGACGGTTATTCATATATTGATTAATTTTTTGGTTTGAAATGAAAGATATAAGAGAAATCGATGGAGTAAGTGAGTGAGTGAGTGAATCAGTTGAAAAGTTGAACATGAATAAAAACAAAACTAAAAATGTTGGCCGTAAGTAGCGCTTGCTTTCCAAACGAACACTTACCAACATGGTTTCATCTTAGAACATCTGATAGAATCCGGACATTAAGCTACACCCCAAACAAACTTCAAAATCGTCTACAGAATACGCAGCAGTCTTCCTAAAAGTGTACGAGTAAAACTTCTTCAAACTGCAAAAGAAATAGCGATTCACTAGCTAAACCCTGAACTCTGTTTGCATACAGAAGAAGTTCGTTCGACCAATACACTTGCGAAGGACGTAATCTGTCTTAATACGCAACAGGTAAATTCTATTTCTTTCCATCTCTTCATTAGTATTATTTTGTCTTCTTAATTGTAATATTTTACATTTTCAACTCTCTTGTTCCCTACCCCCACCTAACTTAGTTTCTACACCTCACTACCACCGTTAGCGTGAGGACGAAAAATCAAGTTCCCAGAGTAACGGTCAATAAGACTCGCTCCACCACAAATGCAGTTGAATTGGTAGATACAATTAGAAGTGGTTAGTCTAGTCTAGGTACTTCATCTTCTAGTCGAGGAATCACCATCGGTCGTGTAGAGAATAATGTGTGTACTTCACCAGCATTAAAAGGTCTTCGACCTGATTTTCTTAATTTCCTCGTAATTATCTCACTTGGTGTATCGCCTTTGAATTGTAATCGTATATAAAGAGGGTTCTTGTTTACAGGTAGTGAGTAGTCCTTTTCCGCCGCCTTCTTTGTCATGTGTTTCTTGATAAATTTTTCGCGATAGCTATTTTCGATCAAAGTATCATATACAATGCTTAGTTCATATTCAATTACTTCTTCTGAGCATATAGCTCTAACTCTGTGGCCTAGTGAGGATCTTCACTGAATTTCTTTTGTACTTGATAGGAACGAAGCTGTGGAAATGTGTATATTGATTGTCCTGTCCAAGTAATTTTTCTATGCAAATTTCTTTCTATGCTACCATCTGGTTTCCTTATAAAGTAGGACATCGAGGAAGGCAATTAATTCTGTCTTGGGATTACTCTTCGCATGTCAATTTCATAGCCGAAAGTACTTCATTGAATCCAGTAATTATTGTACTTCTATCAGAACCATTATCATCCATATATCGGCAATAAAATGAGAGCTTACTGATAAGGTTGTTCAAAGGTCAATTTTCCAGCTTACTTAGAACGAAATCAGCCAGAATGGGACCCAATGGGGAGTCCATTGCCACCCTGTCCAATTGAGACATTTTAGTCAATTATATTACGTCATCTAACTTACTAACTCAATCTTACTTTAGTTTCTGTCTAATTAAACTTGTTTCTTTCTATATTAGATCATTCTTGTATTACCTAATTAATTATCTAAACTTGACAAACCTCATGTACAAAAATAGCTATATATAAATACGATTGTACAGCTAGCTATGTGAATGAATTCACCGTCGAAAAGAGTCTCTTCGCTGAACGTCTTCTCTTTTTCATATGACTCCATAATGGGAATTTTCAAGCTACTCAAACTAAAAATTGAATGTGATGCAATATACTACTGATTGACCAATATGAGTAGATAGATACAAACACCTCATATCAACTAGGAATGGTGAAGTTTTCATCACCTGGAATTCTGATAGTTATAAATCACAAATATTATTCAACCAACATATTACTACCAGTTCACTGAAGTAACAACTCGAGATACGGATCTCTAAGTTGAGTCAAACTAAGCGCAGTAACACTGCTGATGAACTCGGCGTCGAACGAGTCATCATTCAGTGCTTAGATTACTGCGACCCGACTGGTTGGTTGGCTGGCTAGTCAGCAGGCATTATTGGTTGATGTGAGTGTGCTATCCACCAACTAGTGACAGAGTGTGTTTCTGATTTCTAAGGGAAATTTAGGTACTGTGCAAAGAACACATCACGAATTATTTTTTTTACAAATTTAGAATTTGGTTTAAAACCTTAAAAAATCATGTCTCAAAAAAAAAATTCTCTTGCATTATGGATGGGAACATAGGCGAAAAATTAAAAAAAAAATAGCGACCAGAGGGGGCGAGCACATCAGAGAGTTTGAACGCTCTCCGCTTCACTGAATTACAGAACCTGTCGTCCATTATACATAAAAATGCCGTTTATTTACTAGAAACGTTTCGGTAGTAGTGGTGTTGATTATTTTTACGGGATGAGTTTGCTAGCCTCATGTCCAACCTTTCCTCTTTACCAGTCTTATTACTGCCTTGACGAGGTAAAGGAGTGTGTCGGTGGCCGGGGATCAAGCCGAAAACAACATGGGGCGTGGTTAGCGAGCATTCCACTGCCGTGGCACCGACTAGAAAAAGCAACATGATAATAATAATAGTGAAACACATTAAAGACGACATTTTACCCTGATATAACTGGAAAATACTTTCCAATCATAATGAAGGGTATTACTTTTCCGATTTCATGGGTTTTTATCTGTATGAACAAGGGAACACTCTCCTCCCATTAATCCTAATACTTACCTTAACCCTAGTCTTTACCCTAACCCTGACACTCACCTTAAGCCTTACCTTAATACTATTCCCAGCCACAACTCCTAGAAGGTTTATCATAGCAGCTTCAGGTTACAATGCCAGACCTGTGAATATTTGCTTCGGCTGAAGCCCTATGCCCCAGTCGGAACCTAAGGGAACAGTACTAGTGGTAGACGTCGGACTGGCGAACACGTAAGGTTGGTTGTGAGTAGAAGACTAGCAACACCAACTCCAATGAAACTTCAAAATCTCTAAGGTTGGTTGATGTGAAATTCAAAGATGGCAGTAATTTGCTATGCGCATTTCACATATTACACAACACGATGTGAATTACAGTGACTAGAAGTGCTACAGAAAAGCAAAGAAATTAGACGACACAAAAAATAGGCAGGAAGATTTATTTGATGGAGGATAATGGATTAGATTGATATAAAAGTGCAACTGGAAAAAAAATTAAAGCAAGACTCTGTGTATTATCAAGTAATGCACTTTCGTAAACACACACACACACGCACACGCACAAACAGGTTGAAATGTGTGTGTGAGAGTGTGTATGTTTTGAATAAGAATAATTCTAATATTAATCAATGGTGACTACCTGTCTCTGTCTTGATTTTCATCTGAAAGTAATTATTATCACTAAAAATGGATAGATATTCAACTGTATATACATATATAAACGACAAAAGTGTGTTTTTTCATCAAATTTCACTCGGTAGGAAGTAGTCGTCGTTACGCCTAAGCCATGGTATCTGTGTATGTATGTGTGTGTGTGTGTTAGTTGACGTACTTTCCAGTTTGTCTGTTTTCAACATAGAACTTTGCATCGATGTGCAGCAGTTCAAGTCACCACACTCCCTCCTTGTAGCACACAAAGCCAGAAAAGAAGAAGTAAGCAAAAAGAAACACAAAATAGAGACAGTAAAGAGCGAGATATGAGGCAAAAAGGATAGTAATATGGAAGAAGAACAATATACTTTTATTGGACATTAGAAGTCACAAAGAGTGGATGCATCGGCGCCAGCCATTCACAACGATGACTGTGAGACATCTTTCTCTGTCTGTCTGGATTAAACATAGAACCTGCCACCGAAGTGCAGCAGTTCGAGTTGCCACGTTCCAAATACCACACAAAGGTAGACAAGAAGATGAGTGAAGAGAATCAATAGAGTTTGACAAGTATAAAAGCGAAACAGAATGGGTAATGGTAGAAAGAAATATGAAAGATTAAAGAGACTGAAAACATCTGCGCTGGCCATTGACAACGATCATTTTGAGCCATGTCAACTATTGTCTCCAGCCATTGATTCCTAGAGTCAGTCCCGAGGGCCCCAACCCGAAAGTCTGCAGCTCCCTCCCTATCTGACTCAGTTTAACTGTCAAGGATTTCATGGATTTTTTTTTTTTTTTTTTTGAGATTTGGCCAATTTGCCGCGGGACCCGCATGTGCATGGTCGGCGAGAGTCCTAACCACTGCGCCACCGACGATGAGGCCATGTTTTTGTTTGGCCACCACTTACTCTTTTCCAACCTGCACCTATATCAGCTAGCTAGTAATGCCCGTCGTCGGGGGAGGCGGTGGTTAGGCATGCGCATCACGTCACCTAGCCATCTCAATCTATGTAACTTTATAGCCTATTCGATTGATTTGCCCTCTTTGCCCAACACTCTACGCCTAACGTCAACATTACTTACCTTGTGAAACCACCTAACGTGAGAAAGAGATCACAGACATCTATGATCGAAAGCAGTCAACCTTTTCATGTCTTCAACTCGTATTGGCCATGTTTCAGAGCCATAGAGAAGGACGGAGTGAACTGATGAGCAGTACACACGTTCTTTGCTTGGTTGATAGCCGGATGTCATGCCTACGCCAGAGATGGTGTAAGTCAGCGAAAGCAGTTCGAGCTTTTTGGATCCATGCTGATATTTCGTCGCCAATAAATTTGTTCATACTGTGAGACATATCACCAACTGTCTCCAGCCTTCATTGGTGTTTACCGTCCCAAGGACCCCGACCAGTCAGGCAGTCTACACCTTCCTATGTGGCTTAAACTAACTGTTGTGGATTTCATTGACTGATGAAGCTATGTTTTGGAATAACCACCACTAGCTATCTCTTTGCCAACCTGACCAATCCTATGTCAATTAACATTGACCATCGAGGAAGGTGATGGCTAAGGATGCATGCAAAACACACGTCCTAAACATCTCAGTCTATGTAGCTTCACAACCTCGTCTATTGTCTTCCTCTCTTTACCTACCACTCGACCGAAACCTAACCTCAATATCGCTCACCCTATTATTATACCATTACACACGGAAGATAGAACACAAACGTGTATAATCAAAGACAAGTAGCTGGCC